CGAACCTCACAGCGCCAGTGTTTGCCATCAAGTAGCCTTGCCCTTCTAGCTCCTTGTAGATGGTCTTTTTGTTGGACAGTATAGAGAGCAGAGCAGGAGCCAGGCCCTGGCACGGAGCGGGGCTGCGTCCCACCTCAGACTGTCCGGCTCTCTGAGGGGTTCACGGGTAACATGTGGGTGCCTTTGCGGTCTGCGCTTTCCCGAGCCAGGGGAGGTGGGAAGCAGCCTGGCTCAGGATCAGAGACTGTCTGCCCTGACCATGCAGCCCTGTTGTGTGAGGACAGCGCCCCCAGTGGGAAGCCCTCCCCCTCCCTAGCCTGCCTCAGTGCCTGAGATGCCACTGTGGGCATCCCCTCTGGGTGAGATGGAGAATCCTTATTTACTGCCAATGTGTCTGTTTCTCATGGAGCCACTGTCTGTCCGGGAAAGCCGGCTGGCTCAGCTCCTGCTCAGTGGCAGAGAGAGCCCCGGCCTGGGGGCTGGCGGGAGGGCCTGGTGGGGAGGAGATACTGACCTCAGGTGCCCTGACATGGCTGTACCCCTTCTCCATGGAGAGCAGAGACCCAGGGTCTCAAACAGGAATAAAATAGGTTCTCTGAAGCCTTTGAAGATGTCGTCCTTCCCACCCAGTGGCTGTGATGTCCGCGTGTCTAGGCCGTAAGGAGGGTCCCCCTGCTCGCTGACTTGTCAGGCATCCCACGTGGGGTGGCAGCACCTGCAGGGAAGTGCTCTGTGAACAGGTGAGGACGGGAGGCAGAGGCGGGCGCTGAAGAGGGAAGGAAGAATGCCCGGTATCCTGAGGAGCGGGAGCCCTTTGCCTTTGGAGGGGTGGTGGGTGCACAGGCCAGGGGCTGCCTGATGCAGTGTTGACAGGGGCCTATCAGGTGGGGCTGCAGCCCAGTATCTGGGGATTTTCAGACCCCAGGAACTCTGGCCTGTCCATCAGAAGCTCATGCTGATACCACATTCTATCTTCCATCTGAGAACTGAGGGGCGGTGGCCTCCCCTGGCTGGATGTGGCCCCAGGCCAGGAAGAAAGCTGGGAGGCAGGCCTTCCCCAGGTGCCATCCCACCTGTGGGGCTGGGGAGGCACACAGAGCCCTCATGTGGAGGCCCCTTTCCCACAACCCTGCCTGTCCCCTTTGGGAGAACAAACCAAGTGGGAAGGTGGCGGCCAGTGGTGTGGCCAGGGCTCGGTTTCAAGGCCTCCTGCTTGTGCTGTAGGTGGAGGAGTTGCGTTTGGGTCCAAGTGTCATAGACCCTCAAATGTCCGCTGCAGGGCCCAGCAAAAGTGGGCCGAGAGTCTGTTGGCGCCAAGTCACACGTTCGTTTTTCAGTCCCGGGGCAGGGTGCCTTCTAAGAAAGATGAATTGGCAGAGGTTACTACAGTTCCCATTTTACACACCAGGAGGACTGATTCTGAGGTAAGGAGGGTTCATTCTCGTTTCTCGCCAGGAAATGTGCCCAAGTTTCTCGCCGAGGAGCAGTTACTTTCTGCTAAAATGAAAGCTGGCCCAGGGCCTTTCCAGGACCCCGAGAAAGCATGTTCTCATTGAGCATGTGCTCACGCTGACACACGGCACACAGGCTGGCCTGGTCCGCCCCGGCCCCTCCCACAGGCAGACACGGCAGCCCACGCTGGTTGCTTCCGTTGGACTTTATTGTTGTCCTGCTCCAACACCACAGTAAAAAGCGACCTGCACGCGTCAGGCCTGTACCATGTGTCACCACAGCAAAAATGACCCACACAAACCCGTGCCCGCCCCACCCCAGACCTACTCACAGGATAAATATGTTACAATTTTTTGTTTTTAAAAAAGAAAACAGAATAAATTAATAACTTAAGTGATTAGGCACCAACAGTGATTTGAAAAATTAAATGTCAATTTTAAATGGTAACAGGGCAAGAACCCAAGCCTGGGCTTCTCCTAGCCTATCTCTGTTCCTGACAAACAGCAACAATTCCGTGTGAAGGATTCTGCACTTCAAGACATGTAACCAACACACACACACACACACACACACACACACACACACACACACACACCACCAAATAGCACATGACGGCCTGACTCTCCAGTGGGCCCCTCAAGGCGGCCGACCTGGCCCCAAAGAGCTTGGGGTCCCAGAATGACGGCCTGTAGGCGGGGCTTTAAGCTCCTGTGGTCAGCTCACCCCCACACTCTGCAGAGGGAGGCCCAGAGAGAGGAAGGACACACTGCGCTCTGCTTCCAGAGCTCGTCAAAGGGTGCGGCAGGGTGGGGGTGTGGGGCCTGGCCTCGTGGGGGCTGAGGCCTTAACCCCATGGCAGGTAAGGGGGCAAAGGGCAGACTGGGGTTGAGCCTGTGCTCCAATCACTGCAGAATGGCTGTGCTTCTGTCCTACGAATGGGGCATGTTTGAGTGGTTTCAGATGGAGAGGTTACCAAACTCAATCAGGGAAGAGACTGGGTTAACTGGCTAATGTTTGGGTGTTGCCCATCCCTAGTGATCCAGACCCTCGAGAGAGGTCACAGGGAAGGGAGTTCTCCCTTAAAACAGCTGAGCATCCGCCCTATCAGGGGCCTCAGAGACCTAATCTAACCACCCATTTCATAGATGGGCAAACCAAGGTCCGAGGGAGCGACATCTCCCTGTAGCAACCTCTCCCTCTTTTCTCAGTTCCTGCTCTGCGGTGTGTAACCTGGCAGAGGTGGAGCTGGAGGTGGGGGAGGGCGCCCCAGGCAGGAGTCCTGTGTTAAAGGTGCTGAGACAGCAACCCCAGTCCTGCCAGGCCACCAGGAGAGGGGAGCTTTGACCCAAGAGGCCAAAAGACCAGTTTCTTAAACTAAGCTGACAGGTATGTGCTAAACACCCGGTAGTGTGGGGCTTGTGAGCCAGTGTCCTCTTCTCTTGTACTTCCTTCCATCTCTACCCTAAGAGTTTGGGAGTTACAGGAACCAAGAAGGGAGGGCTCCTTGCAGATTAGATCTGAACACAGTCTCTGAAGACGCCAGCCAGTCCACATCATGGCACATCCAGAAAATACTGACATTAAGGCACCCACACCTGGGCCTACCTGTAGCCTGCCAGGCACAGGGGTGGTGCCATTAAAAGCTCCCCTCTTAGTGATGCAGTCAGGGCTGGATAGAGGGAAAGGCACACCTGCTCATGGTAGGCCGTGGCCACCACTGCCCTTTCCCCTGCGGGAACACGGAGCCAGGGACCCGTACTCCCAAAGGTCTTCTGTTCCCAAAGCACAAGGCTCGCCAAGCCTTTTCCTCCACTTAAAAATCTGACCCATCTTCTGAGCCCCATCTCGGGCACCTCCTTTCCCTAGAAGCCACCTTGTCTGATCTCAGCCCCTTCCCACGCCTGCCCTGGCACCCACCTCCCGGAGCAGCCTCGCTTCCTCGCTCATGCTCCAGCCACTTCGGGATGGCTGTGCTTCGTCCTAGGAAGGGGGCAGCAGCATTTTCAGTCTCTCGTGGCCATTACCAATACCTTGTGTCCTCAGTGCCTGTCCCAGAGCCTGGTCCCAGCAGCCATTAATACATGTGCTGGGTGATAATACTGGGAGGAGGGGCTACTGTGGAGAAAGTAATTTCTCCAGGATGTGACTTCTTAGGGAGTGGTCAGGCCCTGGGCTGGTGAGGGGTGTACACACACACTCACAGAAACGGAAAGGAGAGCGGTAGCCACCTCCATTCAGTATAGTGGGAAGTCATCTTTGTTGGGATGGTCTGCTTCCCAGGATAAGATCAAACATCTCCTCTTCCCAGTTCCCTCTGATACTAGAAAATTTGGCCAAGAACTTTTAACATAAGATTCAGGTCCCCCTGGCCCCGGCTCAGGAGAAAGTGGCTGAGGTGAAACCCCCCTCCTGTCCCTGCAGCCAGGTTTGAGTCCCACGTGGCACCTGGGCTGTGAGGGTTCAACATAGTGTGAGAGGAGCTGAGAAACACTCAGCTGGCACCAGGCCCTTGCCCGAATCCCGCGTCATCTTCCAGGCTCTGCCCTGCTTTCTCCTTTGCGCTGCTTTCCCCATCATCCATCACTGCTGGGAACTGACACTACACACACCACTCCCCTCACATGACATCTCTCCTTCACTTTCTGCTCCATCCCGATCCCCACAGCACTGCCTCGGCCATCCCACCGGGCCCTTTGGGTGTATTTGCTATGCTGTCCCCACAAGGCCTTCACTCCTGCCTCTCATCCATCAGTCACCTGCACCCCCTGCACTGCTCATCTTGCAGAAACTTGCTCCCGTCCTCCCTGTGTCCATGCACTGCCTTCTGCCCAGCCCACTGCTGTCCCAGGGTCGCCCCTCAGCCCCCCCCAGGCTCCCTTTCTCCCATACCCCATACCATCCAGCCCCGCCCAAGCCCCCGCCCAAGCCCTCTCTCACGTGGTACCCTCAGGTGGCAGGAACTTGAGGAGGTCCTGGGGAAGCTCCCAGGGCCGGCCCCTGAGGATCAATCTGTGTCCTTGTCTCTCCATCTCCTGGGCTATGGCCCTTTCCTTGTTCTTGTTACCCTTCATCCTCAGTTTTTCCTTCCTTTTGTCCTCATTCTTCTGCCCTCCCACCTGCAACAGGTGCACTGCCACTTGGCTGAAAGTGGGGGGGGGGGCAGTGCAGCTGGGGATCTAAGTCCTTTGTGCCCAGAGACCACCTCTAACCTTCCCTCTCAACTCCTCCACCTTTTGGTGGCCTTGCCTCTCCCCTGCTGAGACAGAAAGGGATAAAGTCCACGTCCACTTTGGTCTGCTGGTCCGCGTCGTCCTGGTCAGTGAGACGATGGGCTTTTCCGGGACTGAAGGAGGCGGCCCAGAGGCGGCGGCAAGGGGGCTGGGAGTGAGCGTGAGGTGTGGAGTCCAGCTCCGAGCCCTGGCACTTCCCTCCACACATCTGGAAGGTACTCAGGTCTCAAGGGCAGGAAGAGGCTGAAGGATGCTTTTGGCAAGCGCCCTAACTAAGGTGAATGGAGGCATGGCCATCACTGGTAAAAACCAGAGGTGGTGGTGCCTCCGTCAGGCCCTACCTCCCAGGAAAGGCTCAGGGTCCCTGGCCTCGGTGCTTTGAAGCCAAGGGTGGCCAAGTAGAGGGGAGGTTGGAAGGGGCAACAGGAGAGGAGAGAGGGGAGAGGGGGAGGAGCCAGCTTCAGTGCCTGGCCCCTCTCCAGGCTTGGCAGCCCCATCACAGCTTGGCACCCTTGGAAGGCTCCGAGGACTGCCGCACGTCTGTCCACTCCTGCATGGTGCTCTGCAGGGCCTGGGTCTTCTCCTTGTCCACTTGGACGTAGTCCACCTTCTCGTCGGAAGTGACAGACGATGTGGACGGCTGAGGGCGGGGGGGGAGTAGAAGTGCTGTGAGTCCCCATGAGGGGGCTAGAGGGGAGCCCCAGGACGCTGTCCCGGGAGAGGAGGTGGGCCTCGCTGGCCGCTCTGACTGGCCGTAGGAGTCTTGTCCTTTTCTGAAAGTGGCCTTTAGAGCCTCCACTCCACACGGCATCATCCCTCCAGCCCCAAGGGGGATCCAGGCCCACAGCTCTGTCCCCACCCACCTTGTGACCACTCCTCCAGGGGAGGGTATGTGCTGGGTGCCAAGCAGCACCAGCCACAGGCCTCTGTGTATCCCTGCGGGGGACCTGAGCTGAGGCCAGTGCCCACCCTGCCTCTAGACTGCGCAGATCTGTACGTCCTGTGGAGGTGGCCTAGGCCCAGAGTCCCCTCAGGCCACTGCGTCAAGAGCAGGGCTCTGGGACCCACCAGGCAGTGAGCTCTCCTCAGAGAGCTTGGGACCAGGACATAGGAGTAGCGGTCTGTCGCTCATTCACTCTGTGCTTTTGTTTGCCCCTGTGCACAGGGAATGGCCTGGCTGACCAGGTGCCTGGGCCCAGGTACCTGTGAGCTGAGGGGGGGACGGGAGGGCGGTGTGAGCCCTGTAAGACCCGGACGAAAGCACAGTCAAGCAGCAAGAGGGGAGTGCTGCTGTTTGGGGTGTAGGCACCCCACCAAAGCCCTGGCCCCCACCCCAGCCCACCCCAGGCACCTTGCGGTGGGGGCTCGGAGAGCTTGGCTGGAAGTCCAGGGCCAGGTAATCGACGCTGCCGGTGCTCTTCTTAGGGGCTGGACTGTTGGTGCCGCTGGGAATGGGCGAGGCAGACACTGGGTATTGCTGTCACAGGGAGGAAAGTCCTGTTAGTAAGTTTGGGAACTGGCCTAACCCCCCACCGGAAAGCTGGAGCTGCTGGCCCCCCTGGAGGCGCACACCGGGCCAGGGCTTTGCGCGTGCTCACTTAAACCCTGATGGCAATCCTGATTTTTTAAAACAAAGACAAAACTGGTTCAGAGCCGTTGCGGGGCCTGTGGTTGTACAGCTGCTGAGCAGGGGCGGGAACCAGGTCTGTGCTGGCTCCCAAACCTGTACTCCTCCCGCTGAGCCGTCCTTCCCTCCAGGCCAGCTCCCCCCTGCAGGCTCCCCCACAGCCCAGCCCTCGCCTGCTGACCCTGTGACGTGAGCCCATTCCCTCTGTGCACTGGACACTGGGAAGTCTTTTGCAGCAAATCTGCTTCTCTGAAACCCCCACCCATGGCCTACAGCAGTGTGCTCCCCCAGCTCCTCAGAGATCTCCACAAGTGGCCCCGCCCCCTCAGCAGCCCCTCAGGGACTGCTGGAGGGTCCTGTGTCTGTCCAGGCCCCAGGTAAACTGCCCAGGATTTTCGCGAAGCCCCACGCTAGCGAGAAGGGCGATCGTCCTCTGCTCTGCTCTGTCTGCCCTCTGGTTGGCTGGTGCATGTGCAGCAACCACCCTATTCTGTGCAGTCGTCCTCTCTTCCCGGCCATCTCGGAGGCCCTGTGCCACGCTGCCTGTGTCTATGCCTCCAGAGTCTTTCCATGTGCGCCTCCCCTCTGCACACATGCTCATGGCCCTGAGCACAACAACGTAAGGGAGTGAAGGGCAGATCTTTTACTTTGAAAGGTTTTTAACAAGATAGAAGAAGGAGTTAACTTTGAAGGTGCTCCTGCCACCAGTGCTTATTCTGAAAACCTGTCCAGTCACTTGGTCTGCTAACCCTTTTGGGGCTCCCTCCTTCCCACAGGAAAAGTCCAGTCCCCCCAGGATGGTATTCGGGGTCCTCCACCTCAGTGCCTTTCCCAGCCTGCCCTGCAGCTGCACTCTCCACACCACCTGTGTCGTCACAACAGAGGCAGGCCTCCTCTGCCCCTAGGACTGCGGTCTCTGCGGGCAGGGACCCTGTCTTCATCGCCTCATGTGGCTCAAGAAAGATTTGCAGCAGCAAACAAAATATCAAGTAATGTGGGACCCCTGGGCGGAGTGAGTGGAGTGGGGAGTGGGGACTGAGCCTTGGGCCCAGGGGACTCACCATAGAGACGTAGTTCTCCTCACTGTCTCCTGAGTCTGTGCTGGTGATGCTCTGGGTGGAGGTGGGGCGGCAGTACTGGGAGGAGCTGGAGTTGAAGCTGTGGCTGTGGTGGGGGGAAGGCAAAGGGTAAACCTGGGAGTTTCCAGCCTCCACAGGGCTCCCAACCCTCACCCACCCCAACCTCTGCCCTCAGAGCTCCACACATCACTACCAGGTGAGGAGCTGATTCAGGGTGGATACAACTGTTCTCCCTTCACAGGAGGAACCGAGCTCCCCGAGACATAGGGAGTGCTGAGCTACTGACGGCATTATCATCGGGCTGCAGCCTTCCTGACTCCCAGCCTGGCCACCGGTCCCCTCACCAACCCGGACAGCTCTGGGCCACCCTCCCACTTCCAAAAAGACACTCACATGGCCCTCGACCAAGACTTGGTGACAGGGGACTTGAAGGGGAGCTCATCGATGACGGTGTTGCTCCGCAGGTCGAGTGGTGTTGGCTTCACTGGAGCAGGAAGGAAAGTTGTGTTATCGGCCGTGAATAATGATGTCACACTTACATGTGACACACAGGGTGAGTCTGAGTGCCCTCAGATTCATCCTGGTCTCCCAGAGGGACACAGGCTGAGCGGTGATGTGCTCTTTGCCCATGTTGATAGGCCTCGAAGTCTGTCTTCAGATGCCAAAGTACAGATTTTTTGCATTGTGTCTACAGGCATCATATTTTCTGAATCTAAAGTGAGGACAGAGGGTCTGACAACAGGTTGCTCTCCCCAGATCTGTGACCATGTAGGGAAATGAGGGAGGATGTTTATATGGGAGAATGCCGGCATGATCACCTCTGACCCTAAAGTGGAGGGAGATGAAGGCCACAGCCTTGCAGGCTTCCATTCAAATGCTAAGACCTGAATTCCCAGGTGACCAGACCCACTGGGCCCATCTCCACCAGAGGTGACTCGACTTCTCCCTCTAGTCCCTGCCACGGATCCAAGGCTGGTGCCTGAGGTGGGAGCAGCGGGAACCCCAGCACGTCCTGGTCCAGAGGCCAGGAACACAGAGCCAACTTCACTGAGCACCTGCTGTGGACCAGAGTCAACCTCCGGGATGCTTCCTTTTGAACAACCCCAGAGGCAGGAATTACTGTTCCCATTTCACAGATAAGGAAACTGAGGCTCAGAGAACTTAAAGGATTTGCCCAAAGACACACCTAGGAAGTCTTGGATAAGGATTCCAACCCCCATTTACCTGGTTTGAATGCTCACACCTTTCTATTACGTCAGAGTGGACCTTTTAATAGACTGCTTTGCCCGTTCCACTCTACCCAGATCTAAACTGTTCCAAGTTACCCTTGCACAACATTTTATGCACAAGGAGGAACTTTCAGATGTAGCTATGCCCCTCAGTTCCTCTGGGAGGTACGTATTATATCAGTGATGGCGAACCTATGACACGCGTGTCAGAGGTGACACGCGAACTCATTTTTTTGGTTGATATTTCTTTGTTAAATGGCATTTAAATATATAAAATAAATATCAAAAATATAAATCTTTGTTTTACTATGGTTGCAAATATCAAAAAATTTCTATATGTGACACGGCACCAGAGTTAAGTTAGGGTTTTTCAAAATGCTGACACGCCGAGCTCAAAAGGTTCGCCATCACTGTATTATATTCTCCTGTTCACAAATGAAGAAACAAGGCTCAGACACAGAATGATTTGTTTCTACTCACACGTCAGCAGGTGGCGGAGCTGAAACCTGAATGTGGCCTGTTCTGAGCCCCCCCCCCCCCCCCCCCCACAGGAGAATATAATACAGTGATGGGAAACTTTTTGACCGCGTTTTGATTTTGAAAAACCAAAAATTTTTTTCGGGGGTTTCATTTAAGAAATTTTTTTTTTTTTTTTAACGGTGGAAACCAGTTTTTTTTTTATATT